AGCTTGGTGCTGTCTGGAAGTGGAATGCTGGTGATGAGAACTGTGGCATCTGTAGGATGCCTTTTGAAGCATGTTGTACAGATTGTAAAACTCCAGGAGACGATTGTCCGTTGGTATGTTTTAGTTAATGTAGCTTCTGAGGCGTCGTTTCGTTTTGCAAATTTTTTTTTAAATTATCTTGTAATATGGTACATACTTGAGTTCGATTTCGTCTTCCCATCGGCGTAATGACTACTTGTTCTCGATGACGATTAAGTCTTGCAGCTTCTGCTACCTTCTAAATTTCATTTGCTTTTATAACTAGAGCTTATTTTTCCTTTTAAAATTTTTTCCCAACTACCGTTTTTTCATAATTAAAAGCTATTTTCTTGAATTGCACCTTCTCACAGTGCTGTTTTTAATGACTGATAGAAAAAAAAAAGTTTTTATGCTGCCTTTTAGTTGCTCTGATGGAGATAATTTAATGTTACTAGTGAACTGAAAGAAAAACGAAGAAGATGTTGTGCCACTCGTTTTTTTTTTTGCAGAACGTGAAGGGCTGGAATAAGTGGAAGGATTTTTAAATGAACCGAGAAGTAAATTTGTTAGGCCTTGTATTGTGGCCTCTTGGATGGCTATCGTAGACCATCCAGTTTACTGTTAAACTGTTTAAGAACACTTCGTTTGTTTTTAGTGGGGAATTATTTGTTAACTTGTGAGAGATACCTTTCTCAGCCTTTCAGATTAACCTGCAATAATTGCAGTAGCAGTTTGCTAGTAACAATTTTTTTGAATTAGTTCATTTCAACCTCACTGCAAGCTGCGTAAGCCCTTTCTAGTTTAGTGTTATACGGAAGTAAATATAATTAAGCTTTTTTTATTTTATTTACACAATATGACAATTTCTTGAACTCCATTTGACGCGAAAGATTTCCAACATTTTGTATTTTCTTACCCTAACGCCTGTGTACTCTTTCTCCAATGTTATATTGCTTTAATTAAACACGGTTGTGTTTACTTCTACCAGTGATAGTTCAGGAAATTTTATTTTAATTTCAAATGGAATGATCGTAGAGCAACATTGTTTCTTGGTCATTTGCACTAGCTCAATTAACTTCTGTTTTGATTATTGCGTCAGTCATGTCCTTAACCAACTGTACACTTTTTTAACGGAACTAAAAGACTGCGACTGATGGAAAGATAGAGTTGAACTCGAGTGTTGAAAGAGCAGTAATTTTATTGTAAAAGGATATCTGCAGGCTCTCGGTAATTGCAAGCATTCGTTTCACATGCACTGCATTGTTAAGTGGACTGAAACGCAGAATACTCCTAGGCCACAATGCCCACTCTGCAGGCAGGAATGGGTCTTTGCCACTGGTTGAAAGTGCCGTTTTCAATCTTTTTGTGACCACTTTTGAACTTTTTGTAACAGATTGTTTCTTCAAAACTGTATTGTTTTGTTACCTTTTTCATTGTGAAATTTATGCTATTAATGAAACGTAATGTGAGGTGCTGTGTTTGGGCGGATTCTTTCTTAGGGGGTTTCGCTTTTGCTGAAATCTTTTTTTTTATATTAGATGCTGCTTTATAAATTAAATATGGTGGTTACTTTCACTGTGTTTATTAATGAGGAAGAGGCGACCATAATGTGGGAATTATAGCGTGCTTTAATTATTAAGTTTTTTATTGTTTGTATAATTGGTTCTGTAGTGTGACTACTGATGACAGCTGTTTTAAATTTAAAAAGTGGATATGAAGCAACTTTCTGCCGGATATGAGAAGCAAGTAGTCACTTATACAGGTCATCGCAATGTCCTCTGGTGAGGCAAACCTGTTGTTGCCTTAAATTGGTGAGGTTCAGGCTGGTGATACACTCAGGGTGCGGTCACGTACTTTATTGTGTTATCGATATATACAGATCAAAAAGCTATAAAGTAAAAAAAGTTGGTGGAAGCATATCCTTTTTTATAGTAATTCGAGTGTAGTCATAAACGTTGTTGGTCACCGCCAGGTACTCGCTTTTCCAATATGTTGTGAGATCTTAGCTTTTATTGGGAACATTGGGGTTGAAGGGACTGGGTTTAATACTGGAGGCATGAAGTTTTGGGTCAAATTCCAGTAGTTTTTTTCAGCTAAATATGGCTACAACTTGGTAGGTAATGTAGGGAGTTGATTTTTATCGGCGTTTACGTTAGTAGAATTTGGAGCATGCAATTGGAGTTTATAGCTGATGTTTTATGTGATGGCATTGTGACAGAGAAATCGAGGTGTAAGTTGAAGGTACAAAAAGTATGCGCTGGGTGGACGGTGGGGATCGGGGCAAGTGCTTTAGTTGTACTCTAATTTATCTTAAACAGTTTATTTAACTAATGGGAGACTACTGGCGGTCAATGTATTGTGTGTCTTCTGCTATAGAGAGATTTCATCATTGCCACACTGCTGAATTGTTCTGATATGCTGGGATGCAGCTTACTCTCAGTGAGTAATAATATCTGTTGTGGAAATAAGCGTAAACTACTTAGTCCGGAAGTTAGGTTTTGGTCTGGAACGCGGAAGTACGGTTACGGAAGAGTACTGCGTCGTGGCGAGATATAGGGGTTTTTTTTGGAAGGTGCCGTCAAAGGTTGCATTTTTTCCGCGTAAGGTGTGCCAACTGTTTTGTTGCCGCATGCGAAGGTGAGACGAGACGACGTGATCAGGCTAGCTTGAGGCAACGTTGCCTGGAGGTCAGGCGACAGTTGCCACGTGGGAAGATCGTTTGTCTTCTAACGCTAAAGTTGTGTGTTTCTAACTTAGTGTTAAATGACGGACGGGCCGATTGGGCCTGAAGCTTGGATCGACTTACTTTCTAATTCTTATTATTGTTTTTCTGTTTGTTATTGTTGCAGTTATTATTAAAGGCTCAGCTTAATTATTACTAACGTGTAGTAGTGATGTGTTCCTCAAAATA